TCACACCAAGAAAAGGGCGAGGTTGACTATTAATTTAAGGCTCTAACTGTGCACACACAACCAAAGGCCCAAATGTCAGTGGACACTGCCTCCCATGAGATCTGACGTTGCAAAAAAATGCAACATCGCAGCAAATCCAGACCGGAGCCACGCACTCCATATTCCTGCGTCATTTTTCGAGCCGGATCGATCTGTGAGGGTCCCAGGGCTCTAAATGGAGCGACAATGCCGGGCTCGAAAAAATCAAGTCGCCAAGATCTCAGGGTCCAGGCCCGCTTGGGAATCAGTGCCCACAGAGATCTGAGCCCGCCTATGGCCTGCGGGTGAGAAGCACGGTGCCGGGTGCCAGCAAGAGCTGCAGCGAGATCCGTCTGAGAGACCCGAGGCTCGGAATTCTGGGGGCTCGAGCTTGCCTGGCGGGGCCGCCAGAACAACGACGGGCCCTGGTCTGAAATTTCACGCAAAATGCGTTCGAACAAAAGCAGTCGCCGGGATCTCAGAGCGCACCTCCTCGGGGCGCGTCGGTCACCTCGGCTCCAGACCTCCGAGGCCGGGGCTCCGCTGCGCTCCGCTCCCGCCCCCCTCGAGCTGAGGCCTCGCTCCCTGGCGCCCGACGGTGCGGCCGCAGGAAGCCTCTCTGGCTTGCCCCTGCCCTCCAGCCGCTGCAAAAAGACACAATCCACCGAATGTATGTTGGCAATTTTCGGCATCCAGGGGCCCTCACGGGGTCCTGGGACTGTCAAAAAACGCCTCAGGATGAAAAAGTCGGTCCCTCGTCCTTCTCCTCCTCATGTTCCTCCCCCTCCTCCTCCTCCTCCTCCTCCTCCTCCTCCTCCTCCTCCTCCTCCTCCTCCTCCTCCTCCTCCTCCCCCTTCATCCTCGTCGGGGCTTTTGGCTCACGGGACATGGCACGGGATGGCGCGGAGTGCGCGCTAAAGCGGCGTTCTGCAGAGGAGCGCAAGGCAGCAAGAGAGTGGGCGCGGCGGTCTGCGGACCGAGCGGTCCTGAAGCTCTCGCAGGAGGTGCGGCGCCTCCGCGGGCTTGTGTCCGTGGCGGAGGAGGCGCTTGACGCGGTCGCAGGGTGCAGCGAGGTGGCCCAGCGCCAGCGGGCGGTTTTGCCTGTGCTGCAGGCCAAGCTGGAGGTCCGCGCGCCCACATGGCTGGAGGTGCTGCGGCGGAATGTCGCCATGCACGCCGATGCCAGCGACATTGGCGTCTCCATTGCGGGTGCTGACGCATTGCGCAAGGCCCAGCACGGGCCACGGCTCGAGGTTCGGATCAAGCAGGAGGTGGAGACGCCTTGGGTCCTATCCGCCGCTGCCGAGCCGTTTGTGCCCTGCACGTACATTGAGTGCGACGTGTGCAACGGCGACTTCCCCGTTCAGGCCCCCTTGGGACGGCTGGCAGGGCTACTGGGCGACACTGTGGTCGTTTCTTCGGATCTCGCCGCGGGGCTCTGGGAAGTCTTCGGGCCGTTGTCGCAGGAGCAGGTCGTGGCCGATGGCTCCGAGGAGCTGCGGGAGCAGCCCGTGTCGGAGCCTATGGCGCTGCCACAGGAGCAATTCAGTCCAGCACCATCGGGTCAGGTGATGGCCCATTCGGGTCCAGAGCAAATGGGTCAGACGGAGGCCCATGCTCTGATGCTGTCGCTTCTACTGCAAAGTTCGACCCCGACTTGAGTTCAGGGTTGGATAAGACCATCGAGGAAGATTGGTACCCCGAGGACACGGAGGACCTCGAGTCGCTCTCCGTGGTGCGGCTGCGCCTGGCCGATCTCTTGATCGAGTCGGGGAGGCGTGCGGAGGACCTCCTCGACTCGCTGCACGCTGGACGGTGCCCTATCTGCGTGTCCTCGGACCTCCTCCTTCGGAGCGCACCGAGGGGCGGCGTCGCGTGCAAGCTCTGCCACGACAGCATCCAGCACCGCGACAAGATGGTTCGTTGCGAAGGCTGCCAGAGCGCCGTTCACCGGGCGTGTTTGCAAGAGCAGCTGGACGGTTAAGTCCCCTGGGGGGTGCTGGCGGCGCACGGCGAGCTCCTGGTGCTCGCGGCGGCGGCGCTGCTCTTCCTCTTGGTTCGCTGGGTTCGGGGTTCCCCTTGAAAGCCCCCCCCGCCTTTCGGCGGTGCCTCGGCCCAGCACTCACCGCTGGCGCGCCGAGGGGGCGGCGGCCATCGGAGGGACACTGCGTCCTCAGGTTCCTACTCCTACTCCTACTCCTCCTACTCCTCCTCTTCCTCCTCCCTCCTCCTCCTCCTTCTCCTCCTCCTCCTCCTCCTTGTCCATTCCTTTTTCTTATACGTAACTTCTCCTTGTCGCACCCCGAGGCCAGTTTTTAGGGCGGGCCTGGCGTTTCGCCTGAGACTTCCTCACCACTTATGACTCTGAAGCTGAAAAAAACAACCGTGTCGCACATGGAGGGCGGGTCGTTTTCAAAATGTGGCTCTCGCCTGAGCGCCGCGCATATTCGCTTTCACAATTTGCAAGAGCTTCGCGGATTGAGGGCGGTTCCTTTTCAAAATGTGGCTCTCGCCTTAGCGCCGCGCACATTCGTATTCAACATTTGCAAGCGCTTCATGGATTGAGGGCGGGTCGTTTTCAAAATGCGGCTCTCGCCTAAGCGCCGCGCGCAATCGTTTAACACATGCACGAGTTTCACGGATTGGGGGCGGCTCGTTTTTAACATGTGGCTCTCGAATGAGCGCCGCGCACATTCGCTTTCACAATTTGCAAGAGCTTCGCGGATTGAGGGCGGTTCCTTTTCAACATGTGGCTCTCGCCTGAGCGCCACGCACATGTTTATTGATAGGTACAAGGGTATCCAGGACTCCCATGATCGAGGCACCAGAAATTGTGTTTTGGAAGGGTTCACGATCATGAAAGCGCAACAGTCATGATGATTCGTGGTGTTGAGGTCCCAAGAAAGGCGTTCTGGCACGATTCAGGATCGTCAAGACGCAACCGTCAGGTTTATCCGTGAGGGCGGGTCGTTCTCAAAATATGGCTCTCGCCTGAGCGCAGCGCACATTCGTTTTCAGAATTTAAAAGACCTTCGCGGATTGAGGGTGGCTCCTTTTCAAAATGTGGCTCTCGCCTGAGCGCAGCGCACATTCGTTTTCAGAATTTGCAGGACCTTCGCGGATTGAGGGCGGTTCCTTTTCAAAATGTGGCTCTCGCTTTAGCGCCGCGCACATTCGTATTCAACATTTGCAAGCGCTTCATGGATTGAGGGCGGGTCGTTTTCAAAATGCGGCTCTCGCCTAAGCGCCGCGCGCAATCGTTTAACACATGCACGAGTTTCACGGATTGGGGGCGGGTCGTTTTTTACATGTGGCTCTCGCCTTAGCGCCGCGCACACTCGTCAAATAAATGTGCAAGAGGTTCACGGATTGCCATGATCAGATTACCAGGAATGGTGTTTGGGAAAGACTCAGGATTATGCGGGTGCAACAGTTATGTTGATTCGCGGTGTTGAAGTCTCAACAATTCTGTGCTGGTGCGATTCTGGATCGTCAAGTCGCAGAAGTCAGGTTGATACGTGGCGTTGAAATCCCGAGAACAATGTTTTGGCATGCTTCAGGGTCTTCAAACGGTTGTCTTCCAACGAGGCAGTTGCCTCAATGGAAATGAACCGTTGTAGGGGCCTACGAAGAGGGAGCTTGGAGGAAGGGTTAATTCCGACACCGTTGATGACTCTTGGGTTTGCACTACTAGTCTTCTCTCCTCCTCTCCTCCGCCTCCTCCTCCTCACCATCATCATCGTCATCATCATCATCGTCATCATCATCATCATCGTCATCCTGCTCCTCCCTCCTCCTCCCTCCTCCCTCCTACTCCTCCTTCCTCCTCCTCCTCCTCCTCCTCCTCCTCCTCCTCCTTCCTCCCTCTTCCTCCTCCTCCTCCTCGGGGGGTCACGGCGTCGGAGGTCTGATTTCGTCGACTGGCTCGCAAGTGTGGGGGGCTCGTCGCCCCCCGTCGCCTAGTCCAGGGCCGTGGAGTCTACGCATTGCCCCCACGGCCGTGGACTTCTGCTTGGCTTGTCGCCGCGGCGGCCCCGGCGACACGCCCTCCCTTGCGAGTGGATAATGCGTGTCGCTCTGCTCCGCGGGGCGGAAGGCTCGGGACGTTGATGCTCGAGGACGAGGACGTGGATAGCGTGACGCGCCGAACCTGGTCTGTTGGGAGTGTCCTCATACAGGCGGATCTTGGTCGAACAACTACAAATTATCAAAACGTGTGAAGTAGACAAAATATAGATTCAAAAACTCAAAAAATCGTTCCCACATTATTTTTTGAACATGTTTAAATATTCCTCCTGTAGAGGGACAGGCCCGACTTCAACCTTGTGAGGCAAAACCAGCGGAGCGACACGTTGAGCCAAAGATCCCGACCGCACCCCCCGCCGCCCCTCGTCGCCCTCATCCCAAACTGCCGCCTCGCCACTCTCCCTCCCCCTTCCATCTGCCCCGCTCGGCTGGACAACCGCCGAGCACCGACGAAACCGTCCCTCGGCGAACGCTGGCCCGATGCCCTCTTGCGCTGTCGTGGCTGCGACCCTATATCCCGCCCCCAGGCCCCCCGAAGCGGGCGTTGATCTGAAAAGAGAATCCATGACACAAGCAGAAACGTGCGGAAATCCGTGCGGATCTCTGGGATCGGCGCTGGGGCCCTCCACCCGCGCGCCAGGGAGGGGGGGCCAGCGCCGAGCGGATCATCCGCGCGAGCCTCTTCGAACAACTCTGTTGACGTCACTGTGTCACTGCCTGTCCCTCGACCATCCCGAACGGCAGGTTTGAAAGGCCACGGGGCCCGGCAGCGGGGCCCCCAAAGGCCGAAAATGTTTACGTACCCTGCCTCGTGATCTCTTCGCGGCCCGAGGGCGGCTGCGCCTGCCGCGCGCATCGGCCCCTCGGGCCCGAGACGCGCCCGCACCTCGGGGCGCGCGCCTCCCGCGCGAGGAGCCCGACCCCTCGGCGCGCGCGCGTGCGGGCCCGCGGTCCGCCTGGTCCGCTGCCTGCACGGCCGGCGACTCCTGCGGCGCGCTCCTGGCACGGGCGCGCGCCCCGCCCTCCTCCGGTCCTCCTCCTCCCCCGCCGCCTCCGCCGCTTCCTCCCCTCCTCCTTCCTCCCTCCTCCCTCTTCCCTTCACCCGCTCCGCCCTCCCTCCCTCCCTCCTTTCCTCCCTCCTCGCTCCTCCCTCCCCTCCTCTTCTCCATTCCTGTTCCCTTATATAGCGAACTCCTCCCTGTCGCACCCAGAAGCCAGTCGAAAGGGCGGGCCGGGCGTTTCGCCTGAGACTTCCTCACCACTTGTGATCGGTTTCAAGATGTGGCTCTCGCCTTGGAACCGCGCACATCCGCGCTTAAACACCAGAGTTTTACTTATGGAAGCTGGATCGTCTTCAAAAGGTGGCTTTCGTCTTAGAAGCGCGCGTTCTCGTCTCAAAAGTTTGCAACAAGTTCACGGATGCAGCGCGGATCCTTTTTCAAAAGGTGGCTCTCGCCTCAGCGCCGTGCATGCTCGTTTTAAGAGCGTACTGCAGTTTCGAAGATTCTCACGGTTAGCGTCGCAAAGAAAAACTGAGTGTTGGCACGATGTCGGTCTGTCAGGGCGCGACAGATACATTGGTTCGTGGTGTTGAAGTCCCCGGAATGGTGTTCTGATAGATTCTGGATCGCCAAGACTCCGTAGTCATAGTAACGGTGATTCGGGGCGCTGAAGTCCAAGGAATCATGTTCTGGCACAGCTCATGATTTTCAAGCGGCTGTTTTCCAACTGGGCACTTCCCTCAGTGAAAATGAATCCTCGCAGGGGCCTTTGACCAGGAAGCTTGGAGGGATGAGTGGATGAGTCTCGGGTACACACTGGTCCTTCTGCTCCTCCTCCTCCACCTCCCTCCCTCCCTCCCTCCCTGACTCCCTCCCTCCCTCCCTCCCTCCTCCCTCCCTCCCTCCTCCTCCTCCCTCCTCCCTCCTCCTTCCCCCCCCCGTTCTCCCTCCCTCCCTCCCTCCATTCTCCCTCCTTCCTCCCTCCTTCCTTTCGCCCTCCTCCCTCCCTCCCTCCCTCCTCCTCCTCCTCCTCCTCCTCCTTCTCCTCCTCCTCCTCCTCCTTGTCCTCCTCCTCCAACTCCTCCTCCTCCTTCTCCTCCTTCCCCGACTCCTCTGCCTCCTCCTCCTCCTCCTCATCTTCCTCCTCTTCCTCCTCTTCCTCCTCCGCCTCACCCCCTCCTCCTCCTACGCCTCCTGCCTCCCCCTCGCCAGACCATGGGCGCCGCACAAAAACCAAAGTCGCGACGGAACTCTCTATGTCTCTGTCTCTGTCTCTGTCTCTCTCTCTCTGTCTATCTCTCTCTCTCTTTCTCTCTCTCTCTCTCTCTCTTTCTCTCTCTCTCTCTCTCTCTCTGCAGTTCTCAAGCTTCAGAGGCCGCCTTCCGCCCAGCGCCCCCGGGCCAGCGCCAGACGAATCCAGGATGAGACGCTTGTCCTTGGAGGAGGGGCCGAAGCATTGAGGGCCTTGCGAAGGACAACATTGCACCGCAGGAGGAGGAGGAGCGTTCTGCGGCAACGCAGGGGAGCCTACCAAAAAATCCCGTTGACACATGTGTATCGACGCTAGTCGGCTCCAGTCGACGCTAGATCTACGCACATTGACGCTCATCAGCGCTAAGTCGACGCTAAATCTGCGCTGCCCCATCGACTGCCAGACGCTAGCGCGTGCTCATGCAGCCCGAAGACGGAGATGCGGAGACATGCCAGGCGCCCATGATTTGCGACGGGTGCAGTGCACCGCGGGAGGAGGAGAGTGATGGGAGAGGTCCGGCGAGGAGGAGGAGGAGGAGGAGGAGGAGGAGGAGGAGGAGGAGAGCGATGGGAGAGGCCAGGCGAGGGCGCAAAGGGCGAGGGGGCCCCAGCAGGGGCCGGCCGGAGCTGCGGCAGAAGGCGGGCGCATGCCGACGGAGCAGCAGCGGGCCGCTCGGAGCTCCGGAGCCGCACGCTCGAGGCCCTCGCCGAGCGCCCGCCGCCGAGGCGCCGCCGAGAGCACGCCCGCTGCGGTGATGGGGTAGGGAGCCATGGGATCAGGATTGGGCGTTGCTCAAGTGTCGGGGAGACGTAAGACCCGGGTACGGGGGACTCGGAAATCCCCGACGAGGTCGTCAAAAAAATGACGAGGCCGAGCCTGCATTTTGACGAGGCCTCCCGCTGCAGACATCCCACGAAACCCCTCCTCGTCAAAATCCGAGGCGCGGTCGTCAAAAAACAATGGCGAACCCGAGTCCTGGCAAACCCGGGTCTTACGCTCCCCCGAAAGTGGGGGGGCGATGAATAGGAGGGGGGGGGGGAGAAACATACACCTTGCGACAAGCGGTGCACCTTCCTCCCTCCCAACAAGGATCGCCCCCCGTTGCGCGATGCCCGAGAGAACTCCAGAGTCTGGAGGCCGGTGGAACTCAAAGCGTGAATGGACCATGGAGGTCACTGCCGCCCTCGTCGGATAGGCAATCACCCGGGGTCTGAAGCCACCTGGGCGCATTCCTCAAACAGCGCCCCCACCGTGTAACTCCATGCCGACGCGGACGACAAACAACAAACAATCGCGACGCTGCGTCCGAAGTGCGGAGCGATGCCGGAGCTAGTTGTCGCACGATGGGTGGTCGTGAACAGCCCGCCCCATTTCCAAAGGCGAGAGACGAAGGGAGAGGCGGCGTAAGAAACTTGACGCCAGACGCATCTTGGCTGCTCTTCATGTGCTCTCCCCACAGAACGCATACAGCCATCGCGCTGCCACAGGGACCGCTGAATGAGGGACTGAGGGAATTCTCTCTAGGGGATTGTCTGGCCACTGCGAGTCTCAGCCACGATCAATCTCCCCGACACGAGTCCAGGAAACGACCAGAAAACCAAAGACTCTCCTGAGCCCAGGGTGGCCCCTCTTCCAGCATGCTGGCTGCACGGAGAACTGGACAGGTACGGCGGAACTGGAGGGCGCGGCGCGCGGCCAAAGGATGAAGAGGAAAAAATGCGGACGAGGCGATGTTTCGCCAGAGTGTGCAGCATAAGGAATCAAATTCGAGACACCGACGCTTTTTGTGGCCCTGCACTGACACTTGCGCAGGAAAGCGGATCCTGGTGTATACGGGATCCTGGTGTATACATGTTTCGTCGCTTCCCCGGGGAAACGGATGAAAAAGTATACCCCACACCACCCCGACGTCGTCCCCGACCCTCAAAAAATCCGGGAGTTGAAGCACAGCCCGCCAGTGTGTATATGTTCCAGTTCCCGACAGCACTCCGACACCGCGCGCGCATATATATATATATATATATATATATTGCGCAAGCGGGAGGGGAGCCGCGTGGCATAGATCGGAGCGCAGAGCCTGTGCAGGCCCACCCAAAGGCCCGGGTGTCAGTGGAAACTGCCTCCCCTGAAATCCGACGTTGCAACAAAAATGCAACACAGCAAAAAACCCAGACCGGACCCCAGCACCCCATCTTTCCGCGTCGTTATTCCAGGGCCCGAAATCGAGCGAAAACGCCCGGCTCGAGAAAAATAAATCAGCAGGATCTCAGGGCCCAGGCCCGCTTGGGAACCGGTGCCCACCGAGATCCGAGCCCGCCTATGGCCTGCGGGGTGGGAAACACGGTGCCGTGTGCCAGCAGGAGCTGCAGCGAGAACCGTCTGGGAGACCCGAGGCTCGGAACTTTGGGGGGCTCGAGCCTGCCTGGCGGGGCCGCCAGAACGACGACGGTCCCTGGAGCTCCAGCCGCGAACACCTCAGGGCACCTGAGCGGGCAGAATCCGCGCCAGGGCCGCCAGGAGGCGGCGGCGAGGCCCCGAGCCCGATGATCTCAAGCCTTTCGTTTCGCCGCCTCCCCATAGTATGGGGGAAGCGTGTCCTGTGGAACGGGTCCTGGACCCTGGGGCCTTCCCCAGGACGAGCTCTTCATCCTGAGTCTTCCTATCAGGGGGGCGTAAGACCCGGGTACAGGTGACTCGGGAATCCCCGACGAGGTCGTCAAAAAAATGACGAGGCCGAGCCTGCATTTTGACGAGCCCTCCCGCTGCAGACATCCCACGAAACTCCTCCTCGTCAAAATCTGAGGCGCGGTCGTCAAAAAACGATGGCGAACCCGAGTCCTGGCAAACCCGGGTCTTACGCTCCCCCGATCCTAGGCCCGTGGAAGGTCACGCGAGCCCGAAAACGGCGAAAAAATCTCAGGACCCGTTTGCTTCAGCACGCGTTTCCCCCTTGGCGGCTCAGAAGCGCCCCAAAGCGGGTCGCACCCGCCCGCTCGATCGGACATCGCTCCTGGCGCTCATGGTGCCTCCCCGGTCGACCGTGTCCAAGCGCATCATCTCCGCTGTCCTACCGGCCGGAGCAGTCAGCTAAGATCCGTCTGCGGCTACTCATGGGGGTCTACCATACCATCTTATTGGCCCTTGCGATTCGGCGCGAATCGACGCTAGTCGACGCTAACCGGCGCAAATCGACGCTAAATGGACGCTGATCGACGCTAAGTTTGCGCTCTCTATCGATGGCGCACGCTGGTGCACTCTGAAGACGGGCTGACGAGGACACGCAACGCTCCCATGACTTGCGACCGAACCCTCTGGGACGCAGCAGGGCACACCTATAGTAATCTGCGCCTCCCCTGGGCGCGCACGTGCGGGCCGAACACCCGAGGGCAGACGTCTCACGGTATATCCTTGCCCCCGCGGTATGGCCGGGCGGCGCCCACCACCGTCTGAGCGCGCGCGTCGCCCCGGGGGGGCCGACGCGCACCCGGCAGAGGCAGGTTCGGGTGATGCTGAGGCTCCGTGCTCTTCGGCGCCCTCGATGCCACCAAAGGGGGGGCGGGCCACGGGTCAGACCCCTCCCGCCAGAGGCCCACAGAGGTGGTCCGCGCCGAGCTTCCCTCTGCTCCCTGGGGCGAAGCCAGGACAGCGACAGAATCGGACCAGGACAAATCGGAGACCTCTGAGATCTAGGGCGGCGGGGTCTACACATCACCGCCTCAGGCCTGGCCCATTCTGGGCCCAGGAGCGGTGCATATGCCTCCATGGCCAAGCCAGGAGGGCGTACACACCGCTCCTTGGCCCAGGATGGGCCATGCCTGGGGCAGTGCGAATTTTGTACAGATCCCGCCGCAGGTCTGGCGGTTCTGGAGGTTGTATCGGGCGACGCGGCCTTCTCGGAGCGTTCCGCAACGAGCTGGGAGCGTTCCAGGCCGAAACGACGCACACCTCGCCAGGAGCCCTCGCAAGAAATCCAGCCCTGAAAGCCCGCGCGCGAGATGCACACGGGGGGGGAACCCAGAGCACCGTGAACGCACCAGCTTCTTCAACGGCGGCGAGAGGTCACCGCGCAGCGCGCGGAGAGAAGACACACAGGGTACGCTGACGAAAAGTATCTGGCTTCTTGATTCTGCTCCACCGCGGCGCTCGCCTCCATGCCACGTCGCTCCACATGTCCCCGTTCCCCCGCCTGGACCCTTTCCCCCCCCACCCCTTTCCGTCACCGGGCCCGCCGCGCCCCCCCCTCGTAACGTAGCGTTCGGCGCCGGCCAACGACACGTACGTAGACAAGGATAGCCAAGAACAGGTGCGCTGATACGCACGCAGGGACCTGCTGGGGACAGATTAATGGGCCAAAGAACTCCCAGCTGCATCGAGACCGTTCACGACCTCCTGGCTAATGCTAGCTATCTCCAGCTACCGCCGCGTCCCCTCGCGATTCAACGCTACTCTGGCAGATTCCCTGAGCTACTTTTGATTCCTACTACCACTGATTCACAGACTTGCATATCCTAGCAGTCTTAGCTATTCCAAATAATTCCTAAGCGAAAAGCGTCAAATCACTGGGCGCCCCTCCCCCCGCCCGTGACGCCCGATACGCCAGACACGCAGGGAGGATAACAAATCTGGCTCGTTTCCTTCCTCATCCTCCTCCTCGAGGAGGAGGAGGAGGAGGAAAAGGAGAGGAGGAGGAGGAGGAGGAGGAAAAGGAGAAGAAGAGTAGGGGCAATATGTTCAAAAAACTCGCTTGGTCAATGAGGTTGTCCATGAGTCGGCTTGTCCGTGAGTCGGCAGAATCTCTGGATCCTCCCGCCTTCCTTTCCTCCCCCGCTTCTTCATCATCCTTCCACCACCCAGGTCCTCGGTGGGTGCGCGCGGAATCCCCTCACTGATATTGGTCCTTCTTCTTCCATCTCCGCCTCCCTCATCCCCACGTTCTTAACCTTCCCGTCCTCTCCCTTTACCCTTCCGTCCCTCTCCTCGCAGCCTCATGGACTGCCGTCGATGATGCAGTGCTCACAAACAAATATGTGATATTACCAACTGGGCAACGCAGGAAACACAGTGCATGTATCAGTGGCCCGTGCGGAATGACCAAGTGCAATGTGAAGAACACTTGAGTACTCACGTACCCTTGACCAAGGCCACCATATACGCACTGCCATGCCTCGCACAGATTCGCCTTCCCGCACGCCCTAAGTCACCTGACTTCACGCATCTCGCACCGCGGTAAGCGACGCGTGGTTACCTTCGCGCGCCCGCACCGCCCCCTGCAGAAGGCCAGCTCGACGGCCTTGGCCGCGACGCGCGCAGCGTGGCTGTTTTCGCGCCCATGGGGGAGACCCTTCACATACTGCTCACGCTGCTCACTCATCACGCAGCCCCGCCTGCCCCGTGCGGAGCGCAGCACCAACGGGTACTCCGCGCTGTTCCTGCGCGGGCGGCCGCTCTCCCCACACCCCCGCGGGCACCCCGCCGCCACGGCCGCTGCCCGCGGCAGCCACCGACACGGCAGCAGGCTCCCTCGTCGTCCTGTGCCTCCGCCCTCGACCGCTGCGGCGGCGGCCGCCATCTGCTGCCGCTATGCAGCTGCCGCCGCCGCTTTCGGCCAGAAGCGCGTTGCACCTCGCGGGCGTGCCCCTGGCACCGTTCGCACACGGGCGCGACTGAATGGCCAAGATCGCAAGGTCCCGTGCTCTCAGACCTGGCCAAACGCTGGACCCCAGAAAACATTGAGCACGCACCCAGTCCACCCCTTGTGCTCTACGCCTCCTACCTACGAGCCATCATGCGCTTCATCTGCAACTTGCCCCGACACACCTCATCCCTGATAACGTGCACCGCGTTCCGCCGCAGTTGCACTCTCCTCACTCACAGGCATGAGCTACCAGACGCTATAATCAGCGCGCCGCAGAAGGGATAGTCATCTTTCGCTGGGGAAGGGGGGGAGGAGCCCTGCCTGGCAGGCCATGCTCACAAGTAAACTCAGCCTCTCTCACGCAACTCCATGCCATACAGCCAACCAGTATAGCAAGGGCGCACGACAAGGATGCAAGGGCCTTGAAGGCCGTGTCGACACTTTGCGAGCGGGGCGTGGCCAGCGAAAGCGGCCAAGGATGGGACGGAGGGGAAGGCTGCAAGGGTAGCCTTGGAACATCGCTCACCCTTACTATGCGGGTTGGCTGTAACCAATACCCGTGCAACCCTGTGTGTACCATCGCGGGCTGGCCGATGTGGAGAGAACCAGCCCGACACGGGGCGAGGGGAGCGAGAGCAATCGGCCATGACCCATCGGCGGAGGAGGCAATGCAAACATCAGCCCTGCATCCATATGCGAGAAGCGTCGGAATCCAAAGCGCTATTTCGAATCGCTCGCCAATCGCCAGGGCCCAGAGAAGATCACGTCTGAGCTCCCGCCGACGCTCTAGCAGGACAAGCTGTTCTGGCAACAACATTCTCAAAAGGAAATAATCAGGGTGTCCTTTCCCGACGGGACTTAACAACGTGGGAATGATCGGCGAAGCCATGCAAGCAGGCAATAACGAAAATATACAAGAAACAACGATCGGCCTCAAGTACGCAATGTTTCGGCGGTTCATCCCTTCCCACTCAACGTGGTTGTAGACGGGCTGCGCCTGCACGCTAGCTGCGGCCATGTCTTGCATCGCCTCTCCCTTTTCATGCTAGCTTGTGTCTTCAAATGCTTGCGGCACGGGCTCTGTCGGTCCAAAATACGGGTAAATACTGGAGTTGCCCGCGCGCCTCACTGAACGCACAGTGCGAAGATCAGAAAGGATTGTCGGCGCCAGTGGTAAAACGTCCATGGTCTTTCTGGCGTCCAGTGGTAAAACGTGCGTGGTCTTTGCATGGTGGCGCCATCACCTCGATACTTCACTGTTGATGGCCCGTGGTGCCGCGCTGATAGACCAAAACTCAAGCCCGACAGATCCTGGAGTACTCAAAAGAACCACCGTCATGCCAGCTGCAGCAATGCCCTAGATGCGTTCGAATTGAGAGCATGCCAGGCACCCAGGATCATTCCTGAGCTCTACTCGACAGCAAATCAGATCACACGTTGTCCACGCCCGCAAGAAAAATCATGAACCAGGCGCGACCCCAATAAGGGAAAAACGTCCCATTGCATGGGCGCATTGTTTGGCATTGCTTGGCGCTGCTGGTTAATACTTGACATTGCGCTGCGCTGCACTGCTTTGTACTGCCTGGCGTCTCTTGGCGATGTCTGGCAGTTCTTGACATTGATCAGCACTGCTGGGCATTTAGAGTGGCATTGCTCTGCATGGATTGGCATTGCTTGGCATTGCCTGGCGACCCGGCGCAAGGAACCAGGCCCGGGAACCCGGAGGACACGAGGAACGAAGCCGGGGAGCTGCGCGGAACCCGAGCACCGAGCAAGACCGGGGAACCCTAAAGGGAAATTAGGACACACAAATAAATACACACAAATAAAAATAGTCCCCATATTTTCCCATATTTTCTGGGTTTTTGTCTTCCCCCCCACTTCCCATATTTTCCCATATTTTCTGGGAATCGCAGATTAATTGTGTCTGTGTGTTTTTTCCCCTCCTGAAGCCCGGAGGACACGAGGAACGAAGCCGGGGAACTGCGCGGGTAACCCGAGCACCGAAGAAGACCGGGAGGAACCCGAGGAACCCGAGCAGGGAGCACGCGCAGGGCACCCGAGAGGCACCGGACGGGGGCCTCCGAGGGAAGGATGGTAGAGAACAACAGCTGGGGGCGGGGCGGCCAAGAGTGAAGGGGCCCCAGGACACACAAATAAATACACACAAATCACAAGATTCCCCATATTTTCCCCTATTTTCTGGGTTCTTGTCTTCCCCCCCCCACTTCCCATGTTTTCCCATATTTTCTGGGGGATCGACGATGAATTGTGTCTGTGTGTTTTTTCCCCTCCTGAAAGAGGGGGGCGTCCAAGAGAGGGGGGCACAAATCATGGCCGGCGGCACGTGCGCGGCCCAAGGGGGGGGGGCCAGGGAAGTAGTGAAATAAGAAGAGGCGCCATGACATCTGGGGAAACATCGTGGCCCCCACCATGACATCCACCCCCCCCTAGTCATCACCCCCTTCTTGGCCGCCACCGAAATCCGAGGGAAGGAAGGCAGGGAACAACAGGACCAAGAGACCCGAAGGCCCCCTGTAAGGCATCGGGGCCGGGGAGCCTCGCGAGAATCGCTGGGGCCGACCGCGCCCGTGACCCACCAGCGCTTCACAGACAAGGAAAGACGCCTGAGGCGGAGCTCCACTTGGGAGATGGCAGCCAATGGTTCGTTGTGCTACCCAGACGCGCCTCGAGTGTGAGATAAGAAGGTCCGCTATACTTTCTGTGCCCACTGGGCACTCCACATCTCTCCAACCAAACTCCACACAACAGTCAGCATGCCATACGAGCAATCATCATACTAAGGATCGGCATTCATACCTTCACGATTTTCACAGCCGAGCCTATAATCGGTGAGTGGAGACAGAACCTATCTTCAAGCACAGTGACACAAAGCCTACTTAAACACGGAGAATAGAAGCGGGGTATCAGACACGGAGCCATACTCAAACACTGCACCTTCATCCAAACACGGAACCTCACATATACCACATATCCAAACACAGAAACACTAAATCGCCCGCAACAGCAAGCCACTAACTCGCAACGCATCCACAACAACTACGCCAATGTCAATGAGAGTACGGCGAGCACGGCAAGTCGCAATGTAGCTCAAGGAGCGCACACAATCCTTGCGCTGATGCGTACAACTTGCATGTTGTGAGGCATGTGGTGGCCCCTGTTCATCTACACGATTGGATTTCGAATTCACCTCGGGTGGAAAACCTGTCTGCCGCTAAGCGCACCGTGGGTTTCAATCGGCGAGGACTTTGCTGGCATGCTCTTTCGGGCAACGCGGACTGCAATTCGCAAGCCTCACCCAAAAAATACTTGCAGGTACCGAAGAAGAAACAACACATAAACATAAACTGTTTGTGCTCCGCGCGGATGTCTTGGATCCGCGCGCCCAGGCGCGCATTTTTGTGTCTACGACAGGTATGGGTGCTTTTTTCTTCGAAGGTAAGGGTTCTGCTCTGTGTCTACGACAATTGGATGGGTGTGGCGGCGTTCCGCCACGTGACCTCCCGTGGGCGCCCCGTGGGCAAACCGTGGGAGCTGGCTGGGCAGATCGGGATCTCAACACGTGCCCGCCTATAGGCAGGCCCCGCGGGCGCCCCATGCGCTTGCCGGGTGGGTTCGGGCTTCGCCACGTGCCCGCCCTTCAGGCGCATCGTGGGCTGCTGGCATCGCTCGCCTGCGACGCGTAGAGATTTGCACCGAGCTGGTGCACCGCGCAGCACGCGCCACACATATCTTGCGCACACAGCCTGAGGGATACGCTTGGATTCTGCAGCGTGCCCTCCCGTGGGCGCCTCGTGGGCAAACCGCGAGAGCTGGCTGGCCAGATCGGGATGTCGCCACGTGCCCGCTCGTGGGCGCCCGCCTCGCGGGTGCATCGTGCGTGCGCCGGCGGGGGGCCGGGTGGGCTCGGGCTTCGCCGCGCGCATGCCCGCCCTTCGGGCGCATCGTGGGCTGCTTGCATCACGTGCCTGCGACGCGTAGGTCACGCGTACAGAAGAGGGAGGAGAGCGCCACGAACATAAACTTTTGGCGCTCCGCGCAGATTTCTTGGATCCGCGCTGAGCTTAGCTGTTGCGCCGCGTAGCACGCGCCACAGACATCTTGCACACACAGCTCGCGCTGCACGTTTTGCACCACCCAGATTGCGCCGCACAGCTTCCACCACCTAGCTTGCGTGCCGAACTGGCGTGGTACAGAGCTTGAGCCACATGCCTTTCACAACAAAGTCGCACCACATTACCTATACCACATAGCTTGCAACACGTGCCCGACACCACATCTATTGCAGCATGTAGCTTGGAACAAGAAATGCCGTACACCTGCAGAATGCATTAAGACAGGGCAAAGGAGGTGGGCCTGTTGGATCCGCTTCAGAATGGTTTGGTTCTCTCTGGTAATACGCAGCAGCTCCTCGGAATTTGGATTAGGACAAACAGGCAAGCTCGCTGGTGCTGCAGAGTAGTTGACGTCTCGCCCCTTACCTAGCCAATACTCTCAGTGAGTGCTACTTGGCAAATTGATGCGTGGGCAACCCAAAGCGGAGGGGAAGGCACCACCAATGGCAATGGCACGACACACCATGTCGCAGCGAACGGTCTCCCCACAAGTTCGCCACAAGCCTTACCGAAGAGAGACAACGGCGGGTTAATCCACGCGCCAAGTATTGGGCGTCAGCAAAATTTGAATTATGATATACTGACTAGTGAGAACCAGAGAAAGACGGCAGTCAGGATGGCACGTCGATCGATCAAGCACAACACAGCAGCGCCGCATGCATCTGAATGCTTCTGTGAGCAATACCATGTGCGTCGTGGCGAGGCGAAAAATGATCCCAAGAAAACAGCGTCCTTCTTGCGGGCGTCGCTGTGGAGACTGCGAGGCCCCTGCCACCGCGTAAGATGAGTGGCAAGCGCCGGAAGAACTCGGGGGCTCTGCACTGACAAATCGCTCATGGACGCACGACGTGGTGCTGCCAAGCTGCGCGACGCTACATGCCGGTCTCCCACCACTGCCTTGTCCGAGGCGGTGCTGCCTGCAAGCGCTTGAAGGCAGCAATGCCCCAGCAGCAACGGGCGCAGCGGGAGGGGAGGACCATGACCATATCGAACATGCGTCAGATGAATTGTGGGTGTGTTCTCCCTGGCTCAACCGCCTCCTCCTCCTCCTCCTCCTAACCCTCCTCCTCCTCCTCCTGGGCCGCCCTGCCTGCGCACGCCCCCTGACCGGCTCAACTGCAGCTGGACCTAGGGCAGAAGAACATCCCTCAAGAGCATGCGACCGTCCGTCGGCCAAAAAACACAGACCGTTTAGGTCGGGCGTGTCCTCCGACAGGCGGATTTTGGACGAAAAAAAAATAATCAAAAAAAAGGTGAAAACAAAAAAAAAGTCGCCTGACTATCATTTGACAATTTTTGAATATTGCTCCTGTAGAGGGACAAGCCCGCCTTGGCAGAACGTCCAAGGGTGCCCTCCCCAGGATGCACAAGAGCATCCACCAACCACGAATAAAATCAGGATACCCTCATCGAGCCGACCTCGAGCTTACGTACCTCGCCGGCTGTACGGCCTCCATCTCCTCCGGGGTGAGCTGTCGACACGATCTGTGCAGGCGGGCGGCCCTCCCGCTGTGGCAGTTTTCTTGAGGGGTGCGGGGGGGGCGGCTGGCGACCGGCACGCCGGGAGCCGGTGGTCGACAGCCCTTCCCCGCTCACCGCGGCCTCTTCGGGGGCCACCACCGGCAGGAGCTCGCAGGGAGAGGCGGCAGCAGCTTCGCCAGTTCGAGGCCGGGGAAGCGCCGCGGGCTAGGGGCAGGTCCGTCGGCAACCGCTTCTGGGACGAGGGCGGGCACCGAGGATGCGGGGTGCAGAGAGGGCAGGGTGAGGGCGACGGGGATCAGGGCCAGCAGAAGGGAAGAAGCGAGGGAGGACGGAAGGGAAGAGGGCGGAGGAGGAGGACGAGAGGAGGGGAAGCGGAGTGAGGAGACCGAGGAAGAGGATGGCCGAGAAGAACGGGGAGAAGGCGGGAGGAGGGAAACGGGGGTAGGACGAGGGAGACGGAGGAGGTCGATGACGGCAAGGAGGAAGGGAAAAAGAAGGAATAACACGAGTAAATATGAGACACCTTGGGTGGTGCGTTCAGGAGGCCCCGCTACATATATATATATATATATATATATATATATATATATGTGTGTGTACAAGACTGCAGTGGCGCTTCGCGCCATGCACCTTGGTCCTTGAAGTTTGGCATGCAGGCGGAATAGCAAAAAGGTCAAGCCGACAATTTAGCGATAACTCATTGTTGCCTTTTCCGGCATCGCCGCTATAACAATGTTATTCGTTATCCTTCCTCCATGCTTCTTTTTCCTGATTTTCGCCATACCCTGCGCATTCTCCCCGTCCTCCTCAGCTCTTTTTTGCGGAGGCTCCTCCTTGGAGAGCCTCTGGAGGCCTCACAAAAATTGTTTCAAGCTTTCTTAAGGCCTTCTGGAGGCCTCCTGGGCGTATTATGAGGGCCTCTGGGGGCTTCCTCGGGCCACCCTGCCTCCAACCGCGGTCTCCCTGAACGACCGGGTCACGATTTGGAATGCTTCGGAGGGTGTCTTGGGGCCATCTTGGGCCGCCATGTGGCTCTCTGAGGGCCATCTTGGATCCGTGCTGTTCTGTTTTGGGGCTCTCTTGGACTGCCTGGAAGCCCTTTCGGATGGTTGTGGGGCGATTTTGGAGCCTCCCAGGCGGCTTCGGACGCCCAGAAGACCGCCGTCTTGGAGCGTCGGGAAGCCGAAAAGAGGAGAACCCCAAAATCCACCAAAACCAAAAGAAAATCAATGATTTTTGCCTCTTGGGGCCTTCTTGGGAGTGCTCTTGGAGGCCTCTTTGGGGCCGTCCTAGAGGCCTCTTGGGCCATCTTGAGGTCACGTCGGTCACTCTTGGAGCGCTCTTGTGCTGTCTTGGGGGTCTCTGGGACGTCTCGGATGACCGCCCTGATCGCCCTAGGTGTGCTGGGAAGGCTTGGCAAAACGCCCTGCGAGGCCCGGGGGGCCACTTCGAGGCCCTTCCGGAGGGTCCCAAAGCCCCAGATCCCGGGAGTTCGTTTTTTTTTTGGGCGGGAATCCACACGCCCGGGCTTGTAAACATGTAGGAAGAGGAAGATATGTGTATCTCCATCCCAATTGGATGGGGTACGGGGGACACGGGGGTACGATCTAGTTGACATCATCATTCCGATGATTCTGAATGACGAATTCTGTGCTGCGCAGCAAATAAAAGTTGGCACGCGGAGTGCACGCCACGTCGTCCTCGCCCTGCGCAGCGGGGGCCAACATGGCACCATAGTGAATAATAGTAGGACGCGACTCGTGCTCCATGTGAACATGTCCTCCTCCCCCTGTCTTCGGGCCCTTTGTTGGTGACCCTGGGCCCCGTACCTTCTGGAATCTCTGGACCTTGGTGGTCTTGGCTTGTTCCTTCCCACTCTTGGGGGACCCAGAGCTGGAGTTATACATGCTTCATCCCCCCGGTTGTCTTCTCATCGAGAAGCCTGCGTGGACTGCCTATCCGATCCGATCCCTCCGCCACCTCCACCCTCTCCTCCTCTCCGCCCCCCCCCCTCCTCCTGGCCGGCCAGAGCACGCCAGCGCGCCGCGACGGACGAACGGGCAAGGCAGAGAAGCCGAGCGGCTCGGCAGAATGAGGGGCTGGCGGGCATTGCACGCGCGTCGGTCAGCCTGTGCATCGTGGGCCCGCGGGGACCAGGGCGACTCACTCTACACGTCTCCACTGCTCCCTGCGCCCGCGTGGCTTGGCCAGGAGGGCGTATACACAGCTCCTGGGCCCAGGAAGGGCCCAGCCAGGGGACAGTGGATGTCCACAGATGCCGTCGCCCGAGAGGTGGCAGTGCGAAACCAGACTTGGCAATCGGAGCAGGGATTTGCACTCCAAGTGACAATAGCTCATGCGTGCGCTGGTGTCCGTTGCTCCCCGACACCTTCATGCGCTCGCCGCAGCTGCAATCTGTGTCCCAGCACTTGCTTCGGCCAGAACGAGGGGCGGTCCTGGCTCTGCCTGCCTCTTCTCTCCGTCTACGTTGTCAGACCCCCTCCCCGCCGCTGACAGACGTCGCGGTTCCCGAGGCGCCGTAGGCCCAGGCTGAGCGACAGAAGGGAAAGAGAGGGGTGTGCATAGATAGAGAGAGAGAGAAGACATATAGATGTACCTGTATATCTAGAAAGAGAATAGCAAAAAAGGGTGGAGAGAACAGGAGGAGGCGAAAGGGATGGAAAGAGAGAACGAGAGAACGATGTTCAATAACGAAACAACAACCATGGTTATACCGCGCTCTGGCAGAAACGTGCACTCGACTCTCTCCCCAGTCCACCCCGTCCTCATACAACTTATCCTGCTCCTCCTCCTCCTGATGACCCTTCTCATTCTATTGCTTCACCTTCTATCCCCAGCCTGCCCAATCCTCTCTCTCCTTCTCCTCCAGCCATGGCATCCCCGTGCCAATGGCGCCAACGTGATAACACAACATGGCTGGACTTGTGAGGGGGCGCCCCCTTCCTAGTAAATACGCTGGAGCGTGTCAACCACCTAATTCTACGATCGCACTTGGCCATCGGTCGCTCGAAGAACTAGAACGTGAACACGCCTTGCTGCAGCCGCTGCTCGAGCAAGCGCTGCAGGCGGAAGCACAACGCACGCAGGGGACGCCACATCCTTCCCTGGGGCCCCGGACGATGCGCCCGTCTGGCCGCCGTCGGACCCAGATCCCACGTCCAACTCAGAGGCAGCAGGGGCATCACACACGCACACACACACACGCACACCCACACCCACACCCTCGCACACACACACATACACACACACACACACTTTTGGCGATCGCGGCATCGCGCGCAGCGACAAGGCGGAGCCAGTCAGTCAAAGACAATTAACACGCACACATGCACACACGAACACACACACAGACACACACGCAGACACACACACACAGACACACAGACACACACACACACGCACACACACACACACACGCACACATACACACAGACACACAGACACACACACACACAGACACACACACACGCACACACACACGCACACACACACACACACACACACTGGGGCACCCAGAAGGTACTGATACTGCTACTCCCCGGACCTCTGACCAGAATTTCGACGCGAATCCAGCGGTGGCGTCGAGGGCCTTCCGGGAGGCCCACACGGAGGAAAACAAGGGACGGGTAGCGGTGCGGGTAGCGCGACCTCCTCCGACGCCGGGGCGACGAAGCCACGCGGCCGTCTGGCAGCTACGCCCGCCGGGCTGCCGCAACGGTAGGAGAGGCGGCGTCCCCTCACGGGGCAGTGGCGGGCCAAGGCAGCGCAGCGGGGAGGCGGCGACGCGCCGACGGGGCCAGCGGGCGCCGGGGCGGCGGGGGAGCAGCGGCGGGCGCCGCCAAACGGGCGGCACCGGGAGGCGGCAGGCGGCCGTGAGCGAGAGCGCCAGACGAGGGCGCCGTCGCAGCGGGGGCCAGGGAGGCCATCGAGTGCGTGCCGCGGGCAGCAATCAGCCAGGCGGCGTGGCCCTGGGTGGGCGAGCGTGGGGCGGACGGCAGGGGGCGACCACGCCGCCCAGGGCGTCGTGGCAAGCGCAGGGTAGGCCGGGTGTGGTACCTCCACACGCGCACGCCACACACTTTTTTTTTGATTCGCGGGTCGAGAGCGCACCTCTTCCGGTCAAACGCACGCCACACACAAGCACGCGCGCATACACTTTCTTTTGTCCGCCCGCTCGCGATCAACAACATCTACTGGCACCGAGCATAACAATTACCAACCTGCGCTGAGGGTGGTGGCACTTGGGAGTGATGGCGAACCCAGAAGGCCGTCGTCAAAATGATTAGGGTGCGTGCGTGGCGAGGCAGGAATCTATACATATATATGTATAGATATATGTATATCGTTATAGATGTACACATATACACATATATGTATGCATATATGTATACGTAAATGAACATACTTATATATGTACGTATATAGATGTGTATATATATACAACTATAAAAAATGTGTACAAGGGTGCATTCGTGTTTCGCGCTATGCACCTTGGTCCATGCAGCTGAGCATGCAGGCGGAAGGGCAGGGACATAAACCAGAGAAACTAGCGAACACTGCTAGTTTCACTTTTCGGCATTGTCGTTATAATAAGGATGTTCGTTTTCATTTCTTCCCTCATGTTTCCTCTCCCTCTTCCTCATTCTCACACTACCCTTCAAATTCTTCCCCTATCCTCCTAAGCTCTTGTTTCGGAGGCTCATCCTTCGAGTGCCTCTTGGTGGCCTGGCGAATTCTTTAAAGGCTTCTGGGGGCCTTGTTGAGGCCTCCTGGGCGCCTTTGGGAACCTCTGGGGGAATCCTCGAGCCAACCCTGCTTTCAACCACGGTCTCCCTGAACGACCGGTTCACGCTTCGGGGGGGCGTATTGGGGCGATCTTGGGCCGTCATAAGGTTCTCTTCGGGACATCTTGGGGCCCTGTTGGGCCGT